AGTATTAAGCTATCACTGACTTCTGGAATGACCTGTACAACAGAGCAAATATGAGTTACTAATTATTCATCAGTGTCATTCAGTTTCTTGTATCTCATCACACACTGGAACACATTCTATCTTTACCTCTATTTCTTGGCGTCCCTTGCTTCCTTCAAATCACAACTCAGGTGCTGGAGTCACAGGACCTGGGTTCCGATTTCATCTCTCATACATACTACTTGTGTGACCATAGATGAATGACTTTATTTCTCCGGGCCTCCATTTTCTCATCCAAGAAATGAGGAAGTTGAGGTAGATGACCTCTGATCTCCCTGCTGGCTCTAGATCCATGACTCTTATCTTTATCTACTCCTTCTTCTGAAGGATTGATTCTTCTCTTCCTCTTAAAATTCCTTTTGAGCATCAGGCGCTGAATTATCAGAGTGCTTGTATGCCCTCAAAATTATGTAAGTTCCTTGAAACCAATGGCTACTTTATTCGTTCATCTTTATATCCCCAGTAGTTGTGGAATTCTTACCTGTGGGTAAGACCTTTAAATTCTCAGGCCTCAGTTGCCTAATCTGTAAAATAAAGAGGATGGAATAGAGGGTCTCTGAGGTTCCTTCCATCTCTAAATCTAAGCTCCTAAAGCATATATGTGTTAGATGGATTGTTGACTCATTACAAAGGAAAGGTACAGTGTAGACTGAGATTTAAAATAGGTATGGACAAGTGGTACCTTTCTCATCTTAAATTCCTATTGATACCAATTTCCTGATTTAACATTTGGGTATTCTATTACATGACTTTCTTCTTCTCATTCAGGGACTCTATTGGCAAATGTCTAATGGTTCCCCTCTCCCAATCAGTATCTAGTTCACTTTGAATGGGCTTTATAGGTGTTATCAGAAAAAGAGCTTGTAAAAGTCATCCAGTTCCACCCCCTTATTTTATAGATGAGGAAATTGAAGCCAAAAGAAAGTAAACACTTTGAACAAGGCCACAGGTGGTAAGTAGCAAAATCAGGGCTGGACAGCCAGGTGGTGCAATGGATAAAGTGCCTGGCTTGGAGTCAGGAAGACCTGAGTTCAAATCTATACTCATATACTTCCCAGCTGTGTGACGCTGAGCACGTTGCTTAACCTCTATTTCCTCAATTTCCTCATTTGTAAAATGAGAATAATAATAACATCCACCTCGCAGGGCTGTTGTAAGGATCAAATGAGGTCATAATTATACATAGTAAGTGCAATATAAATGATGGTTATTGTTATAATAATGATATTTATTATTATATTATTTATTATTATTATATTAATTATTATTATTATTATTACAAACTAGGTCTTCTGACAGCAAATACAGGGTTATTTCCATTGTGTTGTGTTGCCCCTGAATATTACTAAGCTTTGCATTCTAAATTTGGGTCTTATTTTTTACACAGATGGCTTCTTAAATGGACTTTCTTTTTCTTTTCTTTCTTACATTTAAAGCACATCTGAGCAAAAGAGAGCAAAGTTAAAAAGGTAGTCAATGAACAAATGAAGTATTGATCAGGTTTATTCCCACATAGAAAAAGGACAAGCACAAGGAATCACAAAATATTAACTTAGTACTATTAGTACAATCATTGGGAGCCTAATGTTCAAGCCTTATTTGGATATCTTTTTTTTTGCAAGATTTCTAATTAACCATTTTACATGTCACCTTCACTGAGTACAGTCTGATGAAATGTTAAGCAAGATCTTTCTGGTGGCCTCTCTCTGTTTCCCATGCTGACACCAGCCCATTCCCAAGATACAGCCACATTCTCACTGGTACATGCTTCTGTTTCTTAATGGCACTCAGGGGTCTTTCAGGACCTTTTGGTACTCACAAGATTGGTGCTAAAGGAAAGAAACACATGAATGAGGCAAAGTTTAGCCAGGGCCATTGGTGAAAGTCAGGCTAATTGAATCCATACTCAACCTAGGGAGCCCCTGACATTATTATGTCAGGAAAGAGAAGAGTCATCTTTCTTCGTACCTTCTTGATATCACATCTTGTCACCTGGGAAACCAAAGGCAAAAGGGTGGCTAACCAAAAACCTCTTTTTTTTTTTTAAATCAGGTTTATGGCCCTGTTCGCTTTCTGCTATTGTGAGGTGGGGAGAATGACTAAGGGACCATTCAGAGCCTATCACCCTATTTTAAAGTCCCTTCACCTCTAGGCCAGCACATAGTTGAGAGAAATCTGGAAGTCTATCAATCACAAAGGGCAGAACAGTCACCTTGTCCTTCCGGAGTAGTTCTGGACATGCATGCTGGGCTGGCCTCTCTAAATGCATTTAGTCTGGCTACACTGACTAACATTAAGTGCTTCTTGGATTGGATTGGATTGCATTGTCTTTGGGAAAGAGTTGTAATTTCTCTGAAAAACTGAAAATTAATATCATATGAAGGCGGATGCAGAGGCAAATGGTGAATGTGAGCAGGATGCGACGTGTAACCAATGAAGAACTCCAAGGAAGAAAGGAATGAAAACTGTCATCTGGGAAAAGTATGCTAGGAAGAGAAGAGGGGTTGGTTGCATGGTGAGGACATGGTGAGGATGACAGCTGGGAAGCCAGAATGCTCCACTGGTCTCCTCAAAAATATCAGGGGAAAGCAAGGAAGGCCTTTGGCATGTTGCGTGAACCCCTTGTGGCAAACTTATGTAAATAGGTGGGCAAAAGTCAGGATGGGAAAACATGGATGAGTTGTGATCTGTATCATGGCAGGGAATATCCAAATTGAGGAGACTAGTTATCCACTTGAGAAAACTTGGAAGAAAGAGAGGACAGAGGAAAGTTAATGAATGCATGTGTGTGCATATGACTATGGTAAAATTAGATAAATCTTGAAAGCTGGAGGAAAAGAGATTCATGCCCCTGCGGAGGAAAAAAAATGGTAGGGAAGAGGGAATTGATGCCAGTTCAATTCAGTTCTATTCAATAGACCTTTATAAGTGTTTGCTGTGTGCAGGAGAGATTACTGGGCCCTGGGAGAGATACAAAGTTCATTATAAATCGTAGTCTTTGCTTTTCTGGTCTGGGGAGTATGACAAGTTAATTCAGTCTTTCTGGAAGAAGGCTATTTGCTGCTTGGAACTGGCAGGAGGGATGGAGATTTGACAGGCGATGTAACCTCAAGGTAAGCAGTAAGAGGAAGAAGCTGGAACTGGCCATTAGGGTGTGCTAACATTCACAAGGCTGGTGCCTATGACTTGGGGATTGACCATATGCCTAATAAATCACTATGGAACATCACAGGCACATATACAATCAATGAGTGTTTGAGGGAGAGACACATTACACAAAGTAGGCATGAACACCCACAGCCATGCCCAGTGACGTGGCTCTGGCCACATGGGATGATATGAATGTCATCAGGCCAGCCTCTCTTCCTACAAAACAGGAGGATTCCCAGGCCCCTTCCAGAGGAATTTCTAGTGAAATCCTTTGACATTAAACTCCGACATGCATGTACAGGTATGGCTGGCATCCTAGAAAGAGTTTCAGCCCAGACACAGCCAGATTCAAGACAGGCTCCCAAAAGCCCTTTCTGGCTATGACTGTGACAAAACGACTCACCTTCCATGCTTCCCCAGAAACAATCATAGATTGAATGGTAACCCTAGAATGGGAGGGTGAGCAGGTGTCACCCACTCACATAGAATTGTCCTTCTATTCAGCGTTTAAAGTTTTCTGGGGTATAGCAATGAAAGGAGTAGGAGACATTGGATGACAATTTGCATGTATTACAAACTCAATGGAAGGGCAATTTTTTTTTTAAAGGATGGGTGGCACTAGAAAATGTTTGTAGCAAGCAGGTAAGGAATGAATACATTGGGAGAGGTTGGAAATGAGAGAGCATGAATGAGCAACAGGGCAAACAGTTCCCAAAGCAGTCATTGGAAAATGAGATCAAGGAAGCTCTGAAAGGGACCAGTCTTGGTAAAGAGAAGGCAGCCTCATCCAAGGAAGCTGGAGGGAAGTGGGAGAGGATTAGCAAAGATGTTCAGCAGTTCTGATACCATCAAGGGGTGATGGCCTAATATAGAGCCTTCATCAGACCAGGGCACATAAGCATCCATAGAGCTAGGGCTGATGCACACATACACCTATGGCAGGTCATTTGTTGTTATTGTTCAGTCATTTCAGTGATGTCCTACTCTTCTTGACCCCCTTTGGGGTTTTCTCGGCAGAAGTACTGGAGTGGTTTGCCATTTCCTTCTCTAGTTTATTTTACAAATGAGGAAACTGAGGCAAACCAAGGGTAAGTGACTTGTCCAGGGTCACACAGCTAGTAAGTGTCTGAGGTGGGACTCTTGTCCACAGAACCCCCTTTCTCCTTCAAGGTAACTCATGATGAAGAAATCAGGTATTCTAGAAATATTGAAGTGGGTTCCTAGGGGTCCAAGCTCTGTACTCTAACTGAACTATGATAGAATCTGCCAGGTAAAGTTCAGGACCCTCAGGACATACTGTCCCTGGAAGATGGTTGGCTCATTCTCTAAACTTTACATCTCTGGATGCCATACTAAATCCACAATTCTGGAGGTAGATTCAGACTCAGGAGCAGCAGATAAAGTGCTGGACCTGAGTCTGGAAGATGAGTTCAAACCCAGCCTCAGATACGAACTAGCTGTATGACCTTGGGCAAGTCACTTAACTTCTGTTTACCTCATCTGTAAAATGGAATGGGAGGGGTGGACTTAATGACCTTGAAGGCCCCTCCCATCTTTTAATAAAGGATACTTCCAGCTCTAAATCTACGATCTCATGAAAACCAGAAAGTCTGTTCCTTTTGGGAAACTCATCTGATGTCACTCTGTACATTTCCTGGTGGCTCAAATGTGGCTTGTCCCCTGGGGTGTCCTGACTGACCCACCTTGATGCTGCTACTAGGGCAGCTCCCCACCCAAGAAACTCCACCCTCAGAAAGAGCTATTTCTTGGTGACTTCAGCCTGTGGAGACATTGCTGTGGAAGTACTGAGGCTCCCACTGTGTCTATTTAAAAGGCAGAGAATTGCAGAAGAGAGTTTGAGACCTCCCAGAACAACAGCTCGGACCCGGGGCCACAAGGACAAGGGTGTCACACAGGTACCCTCTTCCTCAGACCTACCCTGTGGGGGAAACTCCTCATATTGCTGTACTTCAGTCATCCATGATGACTGTGGGTTCTAGTGGAAGTTGGTCAGTCAGAATCTAGGGCTCCGATGCAGTTCTTGGCTGTGAGATTCTCTGGATCCCCAGGAGGTCCCTGACCCCTTCCCTGTGCCCTAGGGGTGGGAGCAGAGTCAAGCTGAGGCACATTGGTTTAAATGATATTCCCTGGAGCCTTTGGGTTCAGAGTATATAGGTACCATTTAGACTTATGTCAGAGGCAACTAAATGATACAATGGAGAGACTGTTGGCTGTGGAGTCAGGAAGACCAGAGTTCAGATTCAGCCTCACACACTTAACTGGCAAGTCACTTAAACTCTGTTTGCCTCAGTTTTCCCATATGCAAAATGGAATAATAATAGTAGCACTCACTTCCCAGTATTGTTATAAGAAACAAAAGAGATAATATTTATAAAGCATTTTGCAAACTTAAAGCACTGTATAAATAAATGCTAGTTATTATTATGATTGTGGCATATATTTTTATATTACTTATCTGTTCATATGTTGTATAAACTCAGTAGATGATAATCTCCTTGAAGGCAGGTGCATTTTTTTTCTTTTTTTGTCTCTACATTCCTAGTGGTTGTCATATAGTAGCATTTAAATTCATGTTCAGTGAATGAATGAATATACACTATTGACATGACTTCTATCCTGTCTCTACAGGTGTTGAGAAGACCCAACCATGGACACAAAAGATGACCACCTATGTAAGTAGCTGGGCCAGTGAATCGCCACCCGATATCAGAAAGCGATAAGAGCAGCAGTTAAATACAAGGAAAATAGCCTAGTTTCCTTTGGTCCTAGGCTACATCTGTCAACTCGGCTTGGCCAATGAATGGGGAGCCAGGGTAGAGCCATGAGAGTGTCAGGTTCAGAGTGAGAGATTCAGTTAGTCCATGGAGAGAAGTATTTTATAGTAGTAAAAAGTACACTAAGGTTTGAGAAATGTTTTACATGGATTATCTCACTTGATCCTCACAGTGGAAGGGAGGGGATATTCTATTATTATCCTCATTTTATTGATGAGGTAACTGAGGCTGAGAGAGTATAAGTAAGATCAGGGTTACTCAGCTAAGAAGTGTATGAGGCAGGATTGGAATTCAGGTCATCCTGACTCCAGGCTCACTACTTAATCCATTGACCCCAAACATGGACACTCAGGCTGAAAAAAAGCCTGCTGACCCAGAGCTAGACTATTTATAGCCCATGTAGTTATAGGTGGAAGTGACTTCAAAGTCAAAGGTGGAAGTAACCCAAAAGACCTGACTAGTGGACTTTGTTTTAGGAAGACAGAAGAGAGACACAGCTAGGGCATGACTATGTATAGCCCCCAAGTACCAGAGCATGGAGACTGTGCAGAAGAGGACTGAGACAGCATGAGGTCAAAACCCACAAGAAAATGATGGCTTGGGGGCATGTTAAGGAACAGCTTCTTCTTAATAAGAACTTTTTTGGGGAAAGGTGAATATGAAGAGGGAAAGGAATCCCTTTCCTCATCCATAGCCCAGGGGTCATAGAAGGTGTCAAAGGTATTTTTGAATTTTTGATTTATGGGAAGTTTGTTCTTGGCTAAGACCTGGACTCCTGAACCCAGAATGAAAGGAAAGAGAAAGAGATTCCTGAGAGTTGAGGGATAGCTACCTGCTCAGGTATCCACCTGGTGGTAGATAGAATGCTGGCCTTGGAGTCCAGAAGACCTACGTTCAAATCTTCCCTTAGATAACTACTGGCTGTGTGACTCTGAACAAGTCACTTAAACTCTCTCAGTTTTCTCACCTATAAAATGGGCATAATAATAACACCTACTTTGCAGGGCTGTTGTGAGGATCAGATGAGATAAGTCAAGTGAACAACCATGTGTTAATCACTTACTAGATGCCAGGCACTAAATGCTATATAAATCATCATCATCATCATCATCATCATCATCATCATCATCATCATCAATTTCCCATAGAAAAGGAGCTAGAACTGAGTTAACAGAAAGAGCAAAGAAATCAAGTCTAAATGAATCAGTTAATGGTGAGGGCTAGGATTAAGCTATTCATGCTGTGTGTTCCTGTTGTTTTTTTTTTTCATCTTGTTTTATCTTCCACCTTGTCCCAGCTACTCAATTATATATTCCTATATAGTGTATTATAATGTGTCCTTTAAATTACATTGCTGTTGGGGTATAGTAGAAGGGATGTGAGGGGAAAAAATCCTTTTGCCTTCTCCCACCGGGAGGAGAACCCAAAGTAGTAGCATTGAGAGTGCAGAGGGCCGGGCCATGCACTGCCTAGCATGGAAAGGCATGGGGATGACGTGGGATGAAAAGAGGTGCTGGAGAAGTCAGAGGATGTCTCTTCCCCTCCACTGTGACCTGGACCCGGGCTGAGCAGAACTACAGTTATATATCTAACACTTATTTTGCAAATTTGGATTTTTTTTTTTGCCCTATATATAGGAACCTGAAAGTTTGAAGCCTTCTCCTTATCCCTGCTGTAGTCTATGATTGTCTCTCTGTGCCTGATTGATTTGGTTCCATCACTAGCTTCGTCTTAACTAGATCAGATGATGCCTGGCCAATCTAATCTGTCACAGAGATGACATATCATTAAAATAGTTTCCAAATGATTTTTCTAAGATACCCTTGAGTCTTTGACTTTCTTGAGAGTTTTAACATTCATGGAGAGTCAACCAAGGTGCTTAATTTTTAAAAACTTTTTTCTTCTCTCCCTTCCATTCCTTGTTTTTATTCTGCCTTATTACAAGCCTTGTCCATCCCTTAGGAAATCAGAGCATACTTCCATAGCCCCAGCTTCATCCCTAAAAGTTAGATTCCTGGAATTTTCATTTTATTCTCCAGTGTCATCAGGAATTCCCTATGTTTTCCGTATCCAAGATTTCAACCAGCAAGTTTTGGCCCTGAAGAATAACACTCTCATAGCAACACCACACAGTGATCACGTGACTCCTGGTAAGTCATCACTTGAATCTAGTTGACTCAACTAGCAACTAGAGGCTGCCTTGAGATGGCCTCCTGGGGTGTGGCTGCTCCTATAGTGGTCTCAGTACACTAGCCTTTATTGACGTACTAAGTAAGCACTGGGGAGCCAAACAAAGGCAAAAACACAGTCCTTGCCTTCAAGGAACTCACACGCTAATTGGAGAGACAACATGTAACTATCTAGGTCCATACAGAATATATGAAGATATTCTTCAAGGGGAAAGCATTAGCAGGTGGGGGTTGGGGGTTGGGAAAGATCTCTTGCAGAAGGTGAGATTTTAGCTGGGACTTGGGAGAAACCAGGAAAGCCTGGAGACTGAGATGAGAAGGGAGAGCATTTTATCCATGGGAGTTCTTAACCTGGGGTATAAGAACTTTAAAAAAAATTGGTATTTATATTTCAGTATCATTAATTTCCTTTTATAATATTGTACATTTTATTTTATGCATTTAAAACATGATTTTGAGAAGGGGTCCATAGGCTTCACCTGATTGCCCAAGGGATTCAGGACACAGAAAAGATTAAGAGCCCACCTCCTAGTTCTATGACAAGGAAGTTGTGAAGTGGGGAGGGTTTGGGAGAAAGGGAGTAGATTCAGTTTTGAACATTTTGACTTAAAGATGTCTATGGGCTATCCAGTTAAAGATGTCCACTCTCAGTTTAGAAGATAGCTAAAATTTCTACCTTACAAGAAAGAAACCCTAATGATTTTGGAGGAAACATGGGAAGCATGGTCCTTGTGACCCATTGGTCTGTCTGGGCCTCACCTGAGTGTTCACTGAGAGAGACAGAGACCCAGCATCTCCTTTCAGGACACCAGCCTTGGGATAGAGGGTGCTCTGGAGAAGCCCTCCTGCCCCTGTGCTTAAGGCTTTCCCAAAAGCAGCATCCACATTACTTTCCTCCCCTCCCTGATCCTGGACTCATGTCTATGCACTCATTCCATTGTGACAAATATCGTGACTTACTCCATTTGCTCTCTCTCTGTCCCCCAGTCTTTTTGGAATCGATGCCATGTAGAGACAAAGAGTACCTTGTGACAGACAAAGGAACAGCTATTTATCTGGGAATACAGAACAAAGAACTCTGTTTGTTCTGTGAAGAAAGTGGAGGGCAGCCCATCTTGAAAATGCAGGTGAGCAACTAGGAAAAACATTCACTTCTCCCTAATAGACAAAAGCAAAGGCATGGATGAACCCCAAATCCTCGATCTTTACTTTTAGTGTTCTAGTATCTCATGTGAACACATTCGTGTATGACGTTCTGGAAATCTGAACTCAGCAGAAACCATTGCTGCTGCTGCCATTTCTGGTGGTGACTCTGCTAAGCCCTCCCTGGAGCCCACCTCCTTTTTAGAGGAAAAGACTTGGCAAGAGCAAAGCACCTGCCTATATAGAGCAGACCTCCCTCACTTTTTCCCCCTTAATGTTCATTAAAACCTTAATATTCATTAAAACCTTAATATTGAACACAAATACAAACAATGACATGGATGAATACTTAATGATAACTTATATTTAAATTCATTCGTCTCAGTGCCTCCAGAGTCATGGCATTATTTTAGTATTTTCCTTTAGATCTCCCTGAGCAATCTTTGTCCATTCATTTCCCCCCACTTTTCCCCACAGGTTGTTATTGAGCCATTTCAATCATATCCAACTCTTTGTGACTCCATTTGGGGCAAAGACACTGGAATGGTTTGCCATTTCAAGCTCATTTTTCAGATTAGGAAACTGAGGCAAAGTTAAGTGACTTCAAGATCACATAGCTAAGCAGTGTTTGAAGCTGGATTTGAACTCAAGTCCTCCTGACTCCAGGCCCAGTGCTCTATCCACTGAGCCACCTAGCTGCCCTTTCCTCATAGGATCCCAGTGCATTGTGGGGCACAGGATAGGGAGCTTGTCTCAGAGCCAAGTCAGCCTGGATTCAAGCCTAGACTCTGACACATTATGGCTATGTAGCCCTGGGCAAGGCAATGTGGTATGGTAGCCAGCAGGCTGCACTTGGAGTCTGGGAGATATTGGCTTAGATCTCATCTGGTAATGGCTAGAACGTACGGAGCTTTAAAGTTCGCAGAGCACTTTACTTGGGTTATCTCATCTGATCATCCCGACAACTTTGTGAGGCAGGTGAAATTCTTTTCCCCATTTCACAGATGAGGAAACTAAGAGGTGGTGACTCACACAAGATTTCAGAGGCAGGATTTGAACCCAGGTTCTCTAACTCCAGAGAGAGAAAGATGATAGACAGACAGACAGACAGACAGACAGATAGATAGATAGATAGATAGATAGATAGATAGATGGATAGATGGATGGATGGATAGATGAATAGCTGGGTGGTTGGATGGATAGATAGATAATAGATGGGTGGATGGATGATAGATAGATATAGATAGATAGATGGATAGATAGATAGATAGATATGATGGATGGATGGTTGGATGGATGATGGATAGATGAATAGATAGATAGATAGATAGATAGATAGATAGATAGATAGATAGATAGATAGATGGATAGATGGATGGATTGGATAGATGGATGGATGGATGGATGGATGGATGGATGATGGCAAGATAGATGAATAGGTAGATAGATGAATGGACAGATGGATGGATGGATAGATAGACAGATGGATAGATGGATGGGTGGATGGACAGATGAATGATTGGATGGATGGAGAGATAGTTGAATGAGTAGATAAATGGATAGATAGATTTATAGATAGACAGATGGAAGGATGGATAGCTATCTAATTAGATATTAGATATAATAAATGGCTATAATCAGATAGAGTCCCTTGTCTCTTCATGATGTGAAGGTGACCTTATATACAAAGGCTATGTTAGCAAAGCTCACATTATGACAGGTCCTTCTAAGATGGAAAGACTCTGAGTATGGATATGGCAGAAAACTCAGTGTCTGTCATTTTCAGATCACGCTTACTAAATTCAGAGAGGCTCATCACCAGGTGAGAGACCAGGTGAGGGACATAGCCACTCATGAAGACCATCTACTATCCTCAGGTCACTAAGGTGTGAGTGGAGGAAGTACCCCTATCACTGAAATCAGAGATCTTGGGACATGTTGAAGAATCTATTGAGTAATAATATGCTTGGGAATTAAGGGGGGAGGGATGGACAGACAAGATTACTATCTTCATCTTTCTTCCCCACTTCCAAATGTCTTTCTTCTGAGAGCTATGTGGTGTAAAGGATAGAGCCTTAGGTCTGAAGTCAGAAAGACCTGAGTTCAAATCTGAACTCAAACACTTACTAGCTGTGTGATCCTGGGCAAGGCATCTAACTTCTCTGTGCCAGTTTCTTCATCTGTAAAATGGGAAAAAAACAGAATTTACCTATGAGGTAAGTAGGGTTGCTTTGAGGATAAGATGAGTTAACATATATAAAATGCTTTGCAAAACTTTTTTTCACTTTTAAAATTTAATATTTTATTTCCCCCCAATTGCATGTAAAAATTTTAAACATTTTTTTCAGATTTTGAATTCCAAATTATCTTTCTCTCTCCCTTTCCTTTCCAATTGAGAAGGCAAGCAATTTGACACAGGTTATGTATGTGTGGTCATGAAAAACACATTTCCATGTAAGTAATGCTATGAAAGAAAAAGAGAGACCAACCCTTTCTCCCCTCCAAAAAAAAAAGTTTAAAAAGTATCTTTGATCTGCTTTTAGGCTCCACCAGTTCTTTTTCTGGAGATGAACAGCATCTTTCATCATAAGTCCTTCAGAATTGTCTTAGATCAATGTATTGCTGAGAATAGCTAAGACATTCACAGCAGTTCATCATACAATATAGCTGTTACTGTGTACAGTGTTCTGGTTCGGCTCATTTCACTTTGTATCAGTTCATGTAAATCTTTCCATGTTTTTTGAGAGCACCCTGCTTGTCATTTCTTACAGCACAATAATATTTCATCTCAATCATATACCACAACTTGTTCAGTCATTCCCCAGTTGATGGACATCCACTCAATTTCTAACTCTTTTCCACCATTAAAAGAGCTGCTATAAATAGTGCTTGCAAAACTTAAAGCGCTATATAAATGTTAACTATTATTTAAAAATTTCAGTCCATCAGAACTCCCCAACTAGACAGAAGATGGGCCTGTGATTACATTAGCTACACATTTATTATACATGTTCTCTTTGTGTTGCCCTGCCTCACACCACAGATTATTTATATATATATATATATATATATATATATATATATACATATACACATACACATATACACACATACATACATACATACACACACATATATACATACATACACACATATATTTTCATATGTATAATATATATGTATGTATGTATGTATGTGTGTGTGTGTATGTGTGTGTGTGTGCATTGCATAATCATTGCCTAGAGGAACCCATGCCAGAGTCCTAGGGCCAGGAGGAGACTTTTGGGAGTGCAGCAAGTGACTGGCCAGTTCTTAGAAGCATACACATTTGGTGAAACAACTTCTTACATTCAGTCATTTTTCAGTTGTGTCTGACTCTTTGTTTCTCCTTTTGTGGTTTTACTGGCAAAGATATTGGAGTGGTTTGTCATTTCCTTCTCCAGTTCATTTTGCAGATAAGGAAACTGAGGCAAACAAACTTGCCCAGGGTCACACAGCTAGTAAGTGTCTGAGGTTCAGGTCTTCCTGACTCCAGGCCTAGCACTCTGTCCAGTGTGCCACCGGGCTGCTGAGACAACTCTACAAATGCTTATGGAGGGATGCAGGGGACCAGTTTTCCACTTCAGAACATGCACAAGTGTTCTCTAATTGTTTCTTGTCTATTCACTGTTTGGTGAAGAATTTCTTTTGGAATGCATGCTGACTGAGCCTAGGAACTGGGGGAAACATTTCCTATATAGGCAACCAGGTCGGGAGGAGCTCCACTTCGTTCAAATGGCTTGGGGGTGAGAAGAGACACATGATTTGGTCAGTTAGTGACTTTTGTACGCATGCTCATTTCTGGATCAACAGTTAACTAAAAGGCAGGAAACAGTTACAGAATAACTGTACATGTTCTCTGTTCTACTTCTTAGGAATACTCAGAAGCAGGCTCACCTCACCTGCCCATTCCCAGGAGCCAGCTGCTACTAGCCAGTCCCCCACTGCACTAGCAATTGAAAAAGAAGGTTGCCCCACATCTCTTTCTTTGCTTCTGTTTTCTTCATTCACTACAAGGAGTCTTTGAACCATGGGTCTGTTTGGTCCCTACCTGCCCCCGCTCTTCCCAAGTCATCTCTAAAAGGTCTTTTCTTCCTGTTCCACAGGGTAATAACGTAATGGCCCTGTACTCTTCAGTGAAAGCACAGAAACCTTTTGTCTTTTACCAAAATCAGGCTAATAACACATCAACCTTTGAGTCAGCTGCATGTCCTGGATGGTTCATCTGTACCTCAAACGAGAAAGACCGACCCGTCACAATGACGCAAAACAGAGGGACAAAGTATAATACAGACTTTTATTTAACATCCATGAGCTGAGTTTGGGATGGGCAACCTCAGCAGCAAAAGAACCTGACCTTGCTGTAAAGTAGGGACTCTCAACCTTTTCTTTCCTTTTTTTTTTTTTTAAATGTCATGGAGTCCTCTGGTATTCTGGCAAAGCTTATGGATGCACATGAAATAACCCTTCTAAGAATTATGGTTTTTAATTAATAAAATTCATAATTTAATTAATAAAATATAGAGAATCACAAAGGAAACCAATTAAATTGAACCAGTTCTCAAAATATTTTAAGTATCTGTTTATTTGGAGGAACAAAAGGTCTAGAATCTTGAGAGTAATAATTTTTAAAAAGTGGGAAATTTATCAGTACCAAAACTCAAATTTTACCCCAAAGCGATAATCATTAAAAGTTTGGCACTGGTTAATAATCAGCCAATAAATACTTATGAAATAACTACTATGTGCTCGGCATTATGCTAAACACTGGGGATAGAAAAAGGGGCAAAAGACAGTCCTTGCCCTCAAGAAGCTTACAATCTAAAGGGCTGATCAGTGGTTTATCAGTGGAGCAGATTAGACAGAAAAAGAAGAGAGGCAAACAAATACAGTAGCATAGTTTTGCTAAACCCAAAGATCCCAGTCAAGTGGCGGGGCGGGGGGGGGGAGGAAGACTCACCATATGACAAAAATTTCTGGGAAAACTGGACAACAGTCTGCACAAATTAGGACCTACCTTCTCACACCACATACTAAGATAAGCCCCAAATGGTTACATGGTGGATTAAAAAAAAAAGTCATATCATCAACAAGATTAGAGAATAAAACAAGTGTCATTTTGATCCTCACAAGATCCCTGAGCTATGTCTTATGCTGGTGGCTAAGGAATAAATCTGGTCATAGGGCAGGGCTAAAAGAAGCCCTGAACAAAAGACTGTTACAGGCTGAGGATATATGGAAAGCCCTCCCTCAGTGGTACAGACAGGCTGTCCCAAAAGTCTTAGTACAGTTTTAAGCTATGGTAGCTTAAGGCTGGGACACCCCATATTTTCATCTAGCTACTTTGCTGTTTATTTTAAAAAAGACAATGTTTATCATTTTATTTTTCTTCTCAACTTATGAAGTGCCAAAAAAAAAAGAGCATTCCCATAGATGGTTATTTCTTCCGCATCGTGGGGATTAGGGGCACAATGTCCCAGCCATCTGGAAAATCCACATAAAACTTTTTGGCTCTCCTTTCATAGCAGAGAAGTTTGAATTATTTGGTATTAAAAGATAAAACATGCCGATATCATACAATGCTATACACATATCTTATGCATTTCTGAGTTTCAAAACTTTTTCTATGTTGTCTGCTGGTCTTCCCGGCCACGAAACTCCCCCCAAGTTCTCATTTCATTTCTTACACTGGACTGCGATATATTGAAACCACAGTGGGGAAAGTCAAGATGTAGAAGGGATAACTGTACATTATGGAGCAGAAGGAGAAGACTGTACGTGAAATTGTGAATCTATTGTTTAGAGCTCGCTTTTCTTTTTAATGTGATCTGAGTTTCTCTGGGCATGCCTAGCTCGTCTAACATGGTGCCCACTACATCTCCGCTGCATCCCTTACCACAAGGTGGGGGTAAGCCTCCTTTGATTGGCTCTCTGCATCTTTAACATTGGAGAGACCGAGACCTTCACTCTCTTTTCTGATTCTCTCTTTCTACTGCTCTCCTTTCAGCCACTCTTATCAACTGAGTCCACAAAGTGGAGATCCCAGTTCATCCAGTGATGAAGCCATGATCTGAACTAGTGAGAGGAAAGGACGCTCCTTCCCCCGCTCCCTCTTTCTTAGCCCAGCTTTGAGAAATGGGATTGGAGACATTTGGTTCTGTTTGTTTCTGCATTATTTGTCCTCCTTGGATTCAAGCGCTGATTACTCTCACAGAATCTGGGAGTTTGGGCCATGGTGACCTTGGAGCCAAAATCATAGGCAGGATGGTGCATCTAGCTAGCCTGGCATAGAAGCCTGAGAAGGACTCAAGCCCAAGAGGGGTTTTAGATGGATGACTGGGACTATGTTCTTATGGGAACCAAGTTAAAATACGACCCTAATCCCTTTCCCCTCCCAGAGTCACTGAGGCAATGCAAGGGGGAATCAGGGTTGTAGTATGTGTATTTGTGATCATACTTTTGGAAATAAACATTCCTTTGTAAGAGCAAATCCAATTGTTAGTGGCTAACTGGAACTGGGGTGCCACCTCTACCCTTGAGGAAATACCATCCAGGAGTCGGGGAGCTGGAGCCATTGGAAGAGAGTCCAGACATCCCCCAAATACCCTTAAGTGCACCAGAGGGCCCTGGGAAAGGAGTGAAACATGACATACTCTGGTCTTCAGGCAGGAGGGGCCAGGGTAGTCTGTGTTACGTGAAGTATATAATAAATTCAACATGTACCTTTCAAAACTGCCCTGTTTATTTGTGATTCCTTCTGCCTTTCTCTTCTCTCTCTCTCTTTTTTTTTTTTGGAGGGAACCTTATCCTTAGTCTCTTTCTTCCTCCCCTGCCCATTAGGATAAAAAAGAGAAGAACAAAGTCCTTATAACACATACGCAGAGTCAATCAAAACAAATCCCTACATTGGCAGAGTCTAGAATACACATCTCATTCTGTGCCCTGAATCCATTGCCTCTCTGTCACGAGGGGGGTAGCCGGCTTTTTCCATTGGTCTTCTGGAATTTGGGTCCCTTGTTGTCTTGATCAGAGTTCCTAAATCTTCCAAGGTTGTTTGTCTTTACAATTAAATGAAACGTCTTCAAGATACAGGTAAAGACGGAACAGGAAAAGAAATGGGGTCTTGTATTTTAGATATTAATTTAGGATATACTAGAAACTGTAGAGAAAGTCCCTTGCAGGGAGGGCCCGGATGGAGAGGAAGCTGCAAAAAGGGCCTTATATTTAAATATTTCTCTTGGTTTCTGTTTGTGTCTTTGTTTGTACAAGGATGTAATATCAGCTGAACCTCAATTAGGATTTTATTTCATTTCAATAAGTATTTAAGCACCTAGTATGGGCCAATCCAATCCAATTAATAGTTATTAAATCTTAGCACAGTTTTAAGTTATTAAGGTTTGTATAGATTATGTATAAATTTATACATAATCTATACAAAATGAATACAAGGTTCTTTGGGGAAAGAGTGCCCAGGATGCCCAAGGAAGGGCAAAGGGCTGAGATGAGAGCAGTTCTTTGTCACCTTCAATGGTATATGCAGTCATCTGCCTTTCTTTCTACTGCCCCCCAACCCCCGGCTATGTTGCTTATGCTGAGGGCATGGATTTGGCTTGTTCCAGCACTTAGGGGTGCTACCATTCCAAGTTTTAAAATTGTAAGTTAAAAATGGTGCACTCAAAAAGGAAAAAAAAAAGAAAAAGAAATGGTGCACTTTAGTACAAAATGCCCATCTCAGCCCAGCACCACTGTCCCCTTGTGCCTCACACCGTGCTAAGGGGTGGAGTCAGAGAACCAGAGTTTCAAATCCGAGCTCTAATGCTTCTTAACTGTGTGACTTGGGCAAGTCATTATAACCTCTCTGGAACTCAGAAACTCTCAGTTTCCTCATCTGAAAAATGAAAGGCTGGAGCAGAGGGTCTCTGAGACCCCTTCTAGTTCCAAACCCATGATTCCCTGATTTCATAACTGGGATCCCAGAACTGTACATCAAGGATCCTTGCAACTTAGGAAAATTTAATGGAAGATGAGGGGAGCAGTGTAGAGAAGAGAAAGGAGGAAAGGAGAGTTCATTGCTACCATTGATGTAGTTGTGCTGGGAGAGAAGGTAGCCCAACCTCCTGGGTCCAGATCTTATCCCTGTGGGAGATGAGGTGGCAGAGGCAGACCCAGGAGATGGGCACACATGTGACAGGATCTTAAGGATTGCAGGCTGGAAACAATTAGACTGAAACGAGGGGGAGGAAAGGAGAGTTCAATGCTACCATTGATGTAGTTGTGCTGGGAGAGAAGGTAGCCCAGCCTCCTGGGTCCAGATCTTATCCCTGTGGGAGATGAGGTGGCAGAGGCAGACCCAGAAGATGGGCACACATGTGACAGGATCCTAAGGATTGCAGGCTGGAAACAATTAGACTGAAACGAGGGGGAGGAAAGGAGAGTTCAATGCTACCATTGATGTAGTTGTGCTGGGAGAGAAGGTAGCCCAGCCTCCTGGGTCCAGATCTTATCCCTGTGGGAGATGAGGTGGCAGAGGCAGACCCAGGAGATGGGCACACATGTGACAGGATCCTAAGGATTGCAGGCTGGAAACAATTAGACTGAAACGAGGGGGAGGAAAGGAAGGGAACACTATTTTGAAGTGCCTACCATGTGCTAAGTGCTTTACAAACATTATCTTATTTGATCCTCTTAACAGCCCTGGGAAGTAGGTGCTATTATATCCCATTTTACAGTGCAGGAAAATGAGCCAGACAGAAATGAAGTGACTTGCCCAGGGTCATGCAGCTAGTGAGGGTCTGAAGCTAGATTTGAACTCAGGTCTTCCAACTCCAAGCCCAGCTCTTTACTCATTATAGGGCTTAGCCCTAGCTACCACAGGAAAGCATGTTTCTATACAGGAAAAAATAGGGCCCATTGAGGGCTCTGAGATACAGTATTGGGTCAGTAGTGCTCATGGTAAATAAGTGGGTCACCAGGTGGAGTAAAAGCAGTGACTTGCTTGAGCTCTCCCCCCAACCCCTTCCAAATACCTATAAAAAATGGCTCTAAACAAATTCTAAAGCAGCAGAACCCACAAAAAGACAGAGGGAAACAAATTTCCAGCCCAAGACAACCTGGATGGTTGATCAGAAAGGTGTATTGCACCGGGCTGGGGGAAGAGCGCAGTTGGTGTGGGCACACAGGCCGCAGCGAACCTGGAGCAGGCCTCAGAGGACTGAATCAAGGGCAGCTGTGGTGGTTTCCAGAACTCTCATCCCACAAATGCCAAAGACAACTTAGAAGGTCAGGGGGAAAAGTCTGTTTCTGCGGTGCTGAGAGAGGAGCTCGGGGTCTCAGCTCCAGTTTCCGAGAGCGTGGCCCCTGGGGACTGCTGCCTCCTGAGGTTCCAGTCCACAGACAGAAAGGGAATTGGGTGGCTGATCAGAGGGGGATTGCAGGGATCTCTCTGCTGGTGCAGGATTCT